GCCTATACACCCCCCTGCCGGTTTTTAGTGGTAAATGAAAATCCCCACTAATTTTATAGTATAGTAAAATGAACGCGGAATTTGCCTAAGGCCTCGATGAAGGCCTGATGAAGGTCTGGGCCTGTGTTGTATAGAGACCTAAGGTGGGGAGGAAGCATGTTCATGCTACCATGCGAAGCTACTAGGGAAGCAAATATCCCTCTGTAAATAAGCCGAGGGGTACGGCACAAAAAAGCAAAATTACAGAGGGGGGGGTTAAGCAATTAGGCGCATCTCCATTATGAATCTCTTTGTTTTCTAATCCCCTTTGAGGATACATCTCGGCCGATATCCGACGTTTTCCCCAAATTGGTTCATCTTAGCGTTTTATTGCGTATCAAGCCACATACATAGCCAAGTAGTCATTCAGCCAGTCTTGCTCGGCTCGACAGATGTCACGACTGCACTAGATTCTGGATCCCTCGTCTCATCCGAGTCGCTTGTTTCTGCGGCATTTCTTGCCTTTTCCCGTTTGCTGTAACTGAGTTAGTCTCTTGCTCTTTCTTTGGAGGGAATAGCCTCGGGTGTACATACTCCTGGCGGGCAATAAAATACTTGATGACATGAGCCAAGGCGATAAGACATATCGCGTTGCCTAGAACAAAGGAATAACCCTTGGTGAAGCGCGGCCCCTCGACCGTCTTGAACACGAGCAGCGGGGTCCAGGCCGTCGTCGACTGTGCGACGGTGTTGAGGATGATCAGGGTTATGGAGCGCTCAATCGGCGAGTACCGGAGTTGTTCGTTCACCCATCCATATAGGACACTGGACATGGACACTGCGGAGTAAGTCGTGATAAATGCGAACCAAATTGCAGACTCTTTCACATCCCAGACCACCAAGATGATGAGGCCGATGATGTTCCAGACGTGAGCTACAGTGATAGCCCACGCTGGTCCCAGGACAAGGTCGGACGCGAAGCAGATGAAGAGGGTGTAGAAGATTCCAAGGGCTGGAGAGATTGCACCGAGTTCATTCAACCGGCTTGTCGAGTAGCGGTTCAAGCTTCGCAGCCATAGAAGGTAGCCGCCTGTTGACGTGTTGATGCAGCCGTTCCAGAAGAAGATGTCTAGCAGCAGCAACGCCCAAAACTTCCAGTTCTTGAGCACGTTGACCAGGGACCTCTTCGTCCATGTGCCCTGGAAAGTATGGCCCGCCCGCTGAAGGCGGGCCTTGGATAGCTCAATGTCTTTTTCATTGATAACTAGTTTGTTCGGTCTGTCGGGAGTCCCTGGAAGAATAAAGTATCCGAGAATCCCAATGGGGATGGTGATGACAGCGCAAACGATGTACATCCATCGCCAACCTGCTAGGCCATGAACTCCGTCGAGTCTTGCAGACGTGCCTGCTTGAATTAAGCTCGCTGTAAGGGTACCAAGTGTAAGTCCGACATAGAAACAACCTCCCCGGCGCGCAATCTCGTCTCCTCGGTACCAGGCCCCTGTGATGTATAAGCGTGGTCCTCTCGTCTGGCTCAAGTGGACTTACCAAATATGTAATGCATGCCTGGGAAGAAGGCCGCCTCAAACCATCCCACGAGAAATCGGTAAGCCATAAGCTCACCGATGGATGTCACTCGATATTGCAACAAGGTGAAGACACCCCACATGATATCCAGGAAAGGAATAACCCATGACATGGGAAATTTGGTAAAAAGATACGCAAACGGGAGCTGACCTACGACCGCGCCGACGGTGTACATGGTTTGCAGCTGGACAAGTTCATTCCCATGGAGATTCAGGTCCTCTCGTAGACCAGAAACATACGCATTATCTAGAGCCTTGTTAGCCACGATCCCCTGATTTGCAAATGGGGTGTGCATACTTATGTTGGCTTGGTCAACATACTTGACCCAGTACGCCAGAAAGGCGTAGGGAACGATCAATGCATCGAGCTTCAGGATGAGCTTCCTTTCTTCAGGAGTGTCCTGGTCTGCAAACCACTTGACGTGGTACCATTTTTTGCCGTCACGAACGGTAGACATGGTGTTCGGCGCTTCTAGAAGGAATTATTCATGATCTTCGCCTCAAATACATCCGGCGGCTACTTTATACTAGGTGAAACTCGCGAAGATGCCACCTCTTCGCCATATTGCGTGCGTCTGGGCAATCCAATGACGATGGAGTCCAGTATCAGCCCTCGTAGAGATTTCCTCCTTGTAGCTTTCTGGCTTCAACCATTCCGTGTTTATCAAAGCTCTCAGTGGAGGCTAGGAGTGGGTGGAAACACTGGAAATAGCTTGGTTATGCAAACGCACGCTGGTGGCCAAGGATCATGTCAAGTGGTGGAGGCAAGGCGTGCTTGATTCGGTGCTTTGACATTCGCCTAGTGCCCGGGGCTAAGGAGGACTTGCAGATCCAAGTTTCGTCCTTATCTGATGTTTGACCAAGTGTACGTTTAGTCTTAGCGCCTTAAGGCCGAAGACCGGCCGAACCTGCCAGACTCGCCTGAAGAAGCTAAACCTTGAGGCATTTCGTCTGTGCCACACCGTGAGAGGGCAAGGTAGAGGTCGTTGAGGAGACCTTGGGTACTACTACGGGACCTGGTAATATTGTGCATTTCGCCCCAAACCTGCAGGTGCCCCGTTACTTCGTCCACACCTTTCTGGGTAGGGCTTATGGATAAATCCAACCAGGAGGCTGGTTACCCCATACACCTCCCACCTACCGCAACACTTCCCTACCTTTGATATGTAGCCAGGGCCATATTCAATTGACAATGAATAGGTATTAGAAAAAGGACATGCGCGGTCTAGAAGTTAGTGGTGCTAGGAGTCCGAAGAGTAAAATGGGGTCAAGAAAATTTTCTGTGCCGGTGGAGGGGTCTTTAGGAAGACGACAAAACTTGCTCAATTGGCGCCTATATGCACTGTCGGCTGAAGAACTTGGCCTCCAGTCAAAATCAGGACTTCTTTCCTTGCAGTGTTAAAGGAAAGCGAACAAAAACCGGTACTCCAGAATAACACGAAGGGTAGGCACCTGAAATAATCAGAGCACGCCTCGAATCCAAGAACTCGATTCGCACCATGCATTATGACGATTGCGAAAAATGTTCAAGGGACGGATATGACCAATGTTTATGCCAATTTTGCAAATTATGTGGCTCGCTAGGTCATCAAAGGGACGCATGCATGGCTAAACCATGTAGTCAATGCAGAGGGCGGCATACCGAAGGCAACTGTCCACTTGGCAGACGACCGACATACATGTCGGCTGCTGAGTATCCTGTGACAGATGCTTGGATTGATGAGGAAGAATTTTCAGTATGGACATTGCGAGTTCCGCGGCATTCTTCTTACAATGCTAATTTAGAGATAACAGGACAGCTCTCTTGGAGAAGCAAGTCACACGTATGAAGGTCCAGAACAAACTCAGATACCTAAGGTTGAATATAACTGGAAAATTCTGGGAGCAAGAAATTCCTTTGCGGAACATGTCTCAGGGTCCCTGATTATTCTCGAGAACCTTGGGCCTGTTGACCGTACCATGATACTGAATAATCTCATTTCAGAGGTGGGGAACCGGTACTGGGAGAGATATAGATCCCTATTCGATTCAAATGACGTTGCAGGCATTCTCGAGCAGAGGTTAAATCCCGTTGTAAGGAATGTCTGTGAAACCGGAAATTTCACCTTGAATGGGTAGGTTCATCAAATGCCTGCGGTTCCCTGCCATCCCTCAAAAGCATAGATGGAGTATAGAGGCTGACCTTATAGACTGAGAGCAATCGGGCAATGCCCGGAGCACTCGAAGGGCTCAGGGGTGTACCTACATATACTATGGCGGCGATGTAGGCCGGAGAGATTTTGGCTTTATGTTGGCCAGGCGATAAACCTCAGCGACAGGCTAAGGACGCACAATGACCCTTATCGTCGACGACGTAACCCGTCCCTTCATTATCATGTCTGGGACTCGGCGGCTGATATGGAGTCGATGTTTGTCACTCTCGCGGAGAGCGATATCCCAACATGCCCAACTACTCAACTTTTCCTCAACCTGCAGGAGATGTGGATGTCGCTCATATTCCAGACACTAACATCCCTGCGACTGGATGAGTACCTCCTGAAGTCCGTGGCGAGACTGTGGTCGGGTAGCCATCTCAATGTCGCCTTACCCCTTTGGCAGGGTTTCACTGGAAAAGAGGAACAAGCTGCAATGGAGGATGCATGTGGCGGTCGCTTGACTTTTCAGCAATATTTGCAATCCAGCGACCCTACCATCCGTCAATGGGCTAGAGATGCGAGAGATGCGTTCAACGATATCCGAAATTCTCCTGATCCAGTCCTGCGCGAGTACTATAAGGGCTTGCATCTTCAACGGCGAATCAAAGCTCAAAAAACTTGGGATGAAAAACAGTTTCAGAATCTCAGACGCCATTTATCAACTGGGATAACAACAGAGGTTCGAAAATCTCATGGCGGTACCATAGACGAGGTGCATTGCGGTAGATTCCGATTCACCATCTCCAAATCACTGGGTCTGAGACTGGGTGAGGGCGCTCGGGTCACACTTCAATTGCATCTAACAGATACTCGACACCCAGACTGCTATGCTCGAAAAGGGCAACCACGAGATCCTGCGAGTCGACTAGCAGCTTCATTACGAGGTTGTGATGCTCTTGGGTCGTTCCATGTCTGGTTGAAGACTGAGGGTATTCATAACGTGAAGAAGATGAATTCTTTGGTAGACCTTTTGGAAGGATTCTCATTAGAAGAGAGTCGAATGTTCGAGAGGCGGTGGCATGTACAAGCACAAAAACCATGTGACAAGTCTTCTCGAAGAAACGTTTACACCTAAAGGTCATTAGTGATGAAACACGTATGGAATCAATCAAGTACTTAGCTCTATAGCGGCTAACCTAACCTAATACCATATTAAAAAGGATAAGAAAAAAAAAAAGGGACATTGCCAGAGCGAAAGGAGAGTTGGGTGTGCGGTAGAAGGGGAAAAAAAGAATGCGAATAGCATGTCCTGGTTTCGATCCAGGGACCTGGGTGATGTTAGAATTTTGCTGATTTGAATTTGAATTAATGGATTTGACGTACCTCCGGGTTATGAGCCCGGCGCTCTTCCCCTGAGCTAACATGCTTGGTTGGCTGAAATATTCTAAGCAAACTAAAACATATTCGCCAATTTTTTTCTCATCTGTTCAGCTCTTCCACTATCACGGGGATATTGTCCGCCTCAACTCACCATCACCATCACCTAGCCCTCACTATGTACATCATTATATGGTCTAAATATTCAGAATAAAGCTAACTTCATGCCAGGCACTTTATAATTAACTAAAGGAGCATGTTATCCCACCCTCGGGGGGAAGCACTGGGGGCAGAACTAAATATATATACTTAATGTTTTGCTACTCCGAGCATAAATATTTGAGCAAAAACTTGTTTTTTTTTTTTCTAATGCCTACCTACCTTGTATGCTGCACACATACCACTGCAAAGACTCTCCCACCGCTACTGACGAGGATGACACTCACCGCAAGACCACCAATACCAAGGAGTGGGATCAGAAGTTTATACAAGTTGACCAGGATTCACATGAAAGCAGTTAATATAAAGCTTTTGTAGTTCTATTCCTGCTTTATGCATAGTGGCTAGAAGGTTGATAAAGATCTTTGCTGGAGCTTGTTTTATTGCACCCTTTGTTAATCATTGTCCATTTGTAGGATTCTCTTAGTTATTAACGAAGTTGATTTGGTATGTCACACTCCTATAAGGGCCTGCGCAATGTGCAGCTGCGTGAGTGCTCCCGCTAGAAGTAAAACCTGAAACTTGACTATCTGATAACTTCCACTTCCGGTTCCTTCGATCCACAGTTTCCGGAGAGCGGGCATCTGGGAGAACTTTTCGAGACGAGGGTGTGTCCGGAGAACACCGGGAGTTGCACACAATCCCTGGATAGCTCTCAGCCTTCCTCGTTTGAAAGTAGAGACTCATGGCGTGGAATTCGCCTCAGAGATGCCGCAAGCCTCTGAAAAAATGCTCCTTGGGCGGTTAACCAGAACTTATCGAGAAAAGCCACCCATTGTTCGTTCATGATGCGGCACGTGACTTCGTTAGAGGCAGAATTAGTGGGAGCGGTGACGAGTCATGTGACTACATCAAACTTGAACATTCTACATTCTATGCTGTAACTTCACTTTAGCAAACATTCAATGATTACCTTCAGCAAGTGAATACAGAGTCTTCACAGCAGTCTTTTATGTTCCATTGCTCTCAGGGATCTGTACTCCGGCCAGTCACCTATCCACGTTGCGATATTCCATACTACGCGCCTTGCTTGCCGCGCCACTCCACCACAGCATCGGATATCGTCCGCCTCGACCCACCCCTACCACCACCCAACCCTCGCTACACCACGCTAAGGTCCAAATAATTTCAAAATGAAGCTGGCTCGATGCCAGGCACTCCACCATCAATCAATACAAGCATGTTAGCTCAGGGGAAGAGCGCCGGGCTCATAACCCGGAGGTACGTCAAATCCATTAATTCAAATTCAAATCAGCAAAATTCTAACATCACCCAGGTCCCTGGATCGAAACCAGGACATGCTATTCGCATTCTTTTTGCTTATACTTAGGCGAGCTTCGCTAGTGCTCCCTCGATAATCTACGGTACGGAGCATTCTGGGACAGGGATTGAGCATCTACGCTTTGTTTTTGGGCATGGGAGAAAGGGTTCTGGGAAACACGTGAGAGTTCTCGATATCAGCTCTACTTCCAGTTATCTCTTAACTACCAGTTCGTCCAGGGAATACTGTCTTCGCTTCGGGCTTCGTCGACTCTAGCAGCGTCAAAACCAGGTAGAGATGAAGCCTCGTGGGTCTAAACGGCCAAGGTACAGGTGGTAGACCGGTGGAGAGTGCTGCCATTCGGGTGGAATATACAGAGCAATCTAGATAGATATCAGTAGCTGGGTTTGAGTCACATCGCGCAACCGAAACTTCAACAAATCAATATATTGACGTTGAAGCCTTCTTTCGCCCTAGTTGCAAGAGCCCTTTCATGTTTCTTATACTTCTTCTTATACTTCTTCTTATACTTCTTCTTATACTTCTTCTTATACTTCTTCTTATACTTCTTCTTATACTTCTTCTTATACTTCTTCTTATGTTTCTTCTTATGTTTCTTCTTATGTTTCTTCTTATGTTTCTTCTTATGTTTCTTCTTATGTTTCTTCTTATGTTTCTTCTTATGTTTCTTCTTATATTCCTTCCCATGCTCCACTAATAATATAGTACGGAGTATGGAGGGTTGTTCGACTCCGAAGCAGACGGCACCAGTGGAGTCCCTTTCCCTTTCTCAACATCTTTGCCAAATAAATTCGCATGCCCCAACAAACTAGCTGATTTGTAGTCTTTAAATTCAAGTTAGGTTACGGGTGTCATACACTAGAAGCTGAAATGATTTACCCCTAATGGTCTAATGTTGTTTCTCACACATTTTGTATCCCTACTCCGTTGTAAGCAAAGGGATAGGCACGATGATCTCATAACCTCAAGGCTAAGTGAGGGGAAGGGGAGGAAACTGCACCCCGCAAACAAACCTTGAAGTTCCCCAGCATGACTCGCGACGACAAAACCCAAGACACTACAAAGTTACAGTTCACTTCATCAAAACAACTCAAACTTCTAGTGGCTGAGGCGTGAAGCTGAAGCCTGAAAGTGGATGCTCGTTCCATCCGTCCGAGATTTGGACCCGTGGAATTGTTTCCCGCGTTCATACAGCTTCTCAAAATTTGCGAGGGAAATAAGTACGTCCTACTCCACCAATTATTGACCCTGAACATTCGACAAAGGGTCGAGGCTACGTTGTGGAGGGCTGGGTATCCCTGCGGTTACTACAGTCCCTGGCCTGCATATAAGATAACCCCACTGCAATTTCCTTTCGTCAAGTGTAATTTTGACCATACGAAAAAAACAGAGCTAACTGAAACCTTGGCATTTAAAGTGCTGTGATTAGTATTAATCTATTCCCAAAGTGCAGTTGGTTGTATATGTGGTACACCACGCTAAATGGGAAATTGCTAGTGGGGTTATCTTATATGCAGGCCAGGGACTGTATTTTCTTAAGACTATCGACTATTTCTCCCCGGACCCAGAAACGCTCTGCCCTGCATGGCGCATGCCCAGGTTGCTTGGTAGATCGAAATGAAGATGAGCAAGATCAGCGACCCCTTTCAGGTCTGAATTCTAATTGCCGGTCTTGCATTGGACCCGACGTCATCGGAGGCTGACTTTTCTTTCATTATCCTCTTATATTAAGGTTTACCTGCGGATGCAGGGCTTTGGAGAAACCCTGAAGAAAGTGTGCTCCCTGAAGCAAGAGCACACTTTCTTCAACCCTTCCTGATATATCACCCTGTGCTGGCTTCCGGAGTAAGCTGCAAGGTACCTGGTGGCAATCTCACGCTACTCAGGCACACGCCACTCAGCAAAAGCAGCCATGCTTCTCAGCCAAGTAATCAGACAATTGATCGATGATCAGCAAACGTGGAGCCGGAGGAGAGTTTACCTCTGGAGTCTCGGCATCCATATCAACGGATATCCGAACAGCTCCTGTTGAACTCTGGAACATCGCCCTGAGCTAGTAAACTACTCTGGACTGAGTACAACGTTGACCAAACTATCGGCTGATTGGCAGACTTTGGTTGATTCTTCGACAAATGCCGAACTACAGCGGCCCAATGATACACTCAGAATCCACCATCGACTCCAACTTCCGTACTTACTTTTGCTAGTGGTCCAGCGATGCTCCGGAAAAGAATATGCAGATCCTAATACGGATTGTGCGAACCTTGAAGAGTTCAACGCAGTCTTGAGGATGATACCGCCGTGACGCCTCAACGTGGCAGCTCGTCTAAGGTTCCTTTTGCTTTTGTTGAGCCTTTCTCGTAGAATTTCAACGCCTCTCCCGTTGTCCTCCAGAGTATGTACCTGATTATTACGCCGGGGTCTCGGGACGTCCTTACCCTTAGAAAAACGAGGAACAGCTGCGCCCTGCTTGCAGCTCAAGCTGCAGTACCCACAGGCTGAACCGTACATGAATCCTATTAAGATTGCTCTGTACCGTTGATCCATTAGAAATCGGCATTCGGGCTCGGCCGCCAGCTAGCAATGAGTCCAAGACCGCGCCATGGTACCACTGGCAAAAGATGCGCGAAGATCATCATAGGCCGTGGAGATACAACCCCTTAGCTACCGTCCCACGGCATATAAGAGGCAGTATCTCGCTCAAAGGTTCATGTTTTCTTGATCAGCCAGTCACTCTTTCACTACCTCTTGCCCACTCCAGTCATTCACTTACCACGCTCTTTTTCCTCAAATTACTCTCAAAATGAAGGCTGCTTTCATTACTGCCCTCGCGGCCCTTGCCACCTCGGTGGTCGCTGCTCCCACCAAGATTACCTCTACTGTCGACTCCGTTACTTCGGCCCTGCCTCTGAACCTAGACTCCGTTACCGACAAGGTCACTTCTGCTGCCCCCGGTGGACATGTCGTCCAGGACCTCGGCCCTGAGGTTCGTGACGTCCTTGAGGTCACTGGCCCTAACGCCGAGCGCCTCCTGATCCAGCTCAGCCCCGAAGTTGCTGGCCTTTTGTCCAGTCTTGGCCTCCCTGCTCTCGGCGGCCCCGTCGGCTCCATCGTCGCCAGTGCCAGCTCTGTTGGTGAACTTGTCAAGGACCTCGGCCCTCACACTGAGAATCTCCTTACCGTCGTCGGCGAGGGTGGCAATTACCTTCTCATTCAGCTCTCCGGAGGCCTTTCTGGTCTCCTCTCTGGCCTTGGTCTCCCTGGCGTTGGCACGCCTGTCGGCTCAGTTGTCACTACTCTGGCCAACAACTTGAAGCGCGACGAGATTGTCCAAGACCTTGCTCCTCAGGTCCAGGATATCCTCGAGGTCACTGGCCCTAACGCTGAGCGCCTCCTTCTCCAGCTCAGCCCCGAGGCTGCTGCTCTTGTTTCTGGTCTCGGTCTTCCCATTGGCGCGCCTGTCGGTGAGGTTGTTGCCAGCGCCAGCTCTGTTGGCGAACTCCCCAAGGACCTCGGAAAGCCCGTTCACGATCTTATCACCGTCGTCGG